TCCTCCCTGAACGGCCGCCGACTCTCCTCCAGTATCTCACGTGTGAGGCGGCCGATCAACTCCTCCTCGCCCTTCACCTCCCTCTGCTCACGTGCCGTCCGACACTCAGTGATTGCTGCGCCGCAGTCGCTCTGAGTATTGGGGACGCACTTTGCTGACGCATTCACTCGCGGAACGGAGAACGGCGGTGGAAGCAGACGTCCACAACGACCATTTCTCCTAAGATATTTTCCGTCATCAGACCGGACGGCCGGCGGAGACAAGAGAAAGTTTGGCGCCCCACACGGCACGCCAGTGTGAACAGAATCACTCCTTGACGAGACTGTTGCCATCGAAGGCTCCTTTGGAACAGGTGTACCCTCTGTGGCTGCCGCATCACTGTCACCAAACATGGCGGAGAACATTTTTTCTTCCTCTTTTTCTTGCTGTCCCTCGTCCTTCTCAATCGCCTCATTTAGCTCCTGCTGTTTTGCAGGAGGCTCTGGCACTGTTTCTCTACTGGATGCTGCAACTTCCCCTACCATTGTTACTGTGTGTCGTTGCTCCGAACCTGTCATGCTGGTAGCACCGCAGAGCGCGTCAGCGTACTCCTGCTCGTCCACTTCTTCAGATGTCCATTGTGCGCCTCGCACCTCCTCACACGAGGCAGCTGTAGTGAGCGGCGACCTTCCTTTCCCGCTGAGAATGCACACCTCCGGCCCGTAGAGGGAAGTTAGGTGATGTAGGAATAATTCGCACGCCTTCCGGTTGGCTCCGCCCCACGGCACATCTCCATAGCGTCCAATCCGCAGCTGTAGATTGCGTAACAGCCATGCCTCTTCACCTCCAGCCTCATCATGCAGCATCTTTTGCAGTGTGGCGGCGTCAAAGCAATAGCCGTCCGCCTCGTGTAATGCGAGCAGGCGGGACGCACACATAGCTGCCATAAACGCTGTTGGAGCAAAAGGGTCTGCCGTGATAGTTAGACGTGTGAGGAGGCACCGGTAAAACGACAATGACACCTCTGAGGGCAAGCGAATAGGGAAGCCCACGAAGAGGGCCCATCGCCACAAACTACAAACAGTTTGCACACTCACATGTAAGTAACGACGAAGCAGTGACACAAAATGTCTTTCCTCCGAGACGCGCTCTTCCGCATTCTTGGAGTTAAGGGCAATGATTTTCACGACTCGAGGTGATGTGAGGACCTCGGTGACTTGCGATGGAAGGCCACCATTCGGGACACCAGTGGCGGCCAGATGGGAAAGGGAAGAGACAGTGCACTTGAAGTTGCAAACAGCACCATCGACAGTCGAGACTGTGAGATGAAAGCAGTCCTTGTCTCCTTCAATCACGCAATGCACTCCAAGTACAACCTGATCCTGAATGTGACGAAGCATCACCTCGTCGTCGTTTCGAGGCATGTACGGCAACGATGCGTGCAGGAAGCGACACACGGGAGTCCACCGTACTTCCTTTGTCTCAGAGACACTGCCGCTGTAGGGGAGGGCCACCTTGTAGAGAAGATCCGCTACCCCACGACTAGGGTGCAGGAAGCACGGGTGCAGCATCATACAATCGGGGTCGTCGCGCTGCATCGCAAACTGCATGTCAGGGTGTCCTGTCAGCCCCCGGGCGTCTGGGAATCGTGCAAAAAACTGTGAGCCAAACTCCAAATGGTAGGCGCCGTGAGTGTCCACAAAGTGCTCGTGGTAGGCACGTCGTAATCTTTCTTCGGCAACCTTGTATGTCGGAAGGAGCAGCGCCAGAGCTTTCAAGGCCTGGTGATACAACTCCGGCTGTGAATGGAGGTTATAGAGAGAATCCGCTGCCGAGCTGTTCGCCCCTCGCCCGGACAGACGCACGATGCTGTGATCACTGGACCATTCGAGAAGTGACGCGAGTGGTGGGCTCGCGAGTTGGTGCCATTCCAGAGCCGGGGAACCACCAGTGGCTCTGATGTGCTGCAGGCGCAGCTGGTCGCGAACAAGACTTGTAGCCACAAAATAGGTGGGAACAACTTCACACAGCTCTGACTCAAGGGCACTCCACTTCACCTCAGCTCCCCCACTGCTGCCACCGTGTGTGCGCCACTCCTGTGGCACCCACGGTTGCCATCCAACCACCATGTCCTGTTGTTTTTCGCATGGTGGTGCTGCTGTTGTGACGGAGAGAAGCAACGGAGAGAGCTGCACCAGCGCCTCGCTGAACGCCTCCAACGAGACGCTCTGCGGCATCATCCCTGTGTAGATTGCCTCCTGCCAGATGGAACCTACTGATCGCGGCTGTGCCGGCACCAAGCGAAGCACATGTCGCGGGGACAAGTACGCACACGCAGGACACGAAAGTCCCGTCAGGTACTGTCGTATAATTTCGTCCATGTCGAACGCAGCAGTAGGAGCTCCCCCTTTGTGCCTTGCTCTGCGCAGTACTAGCTGTCGCCACCACAGCAACCTCATCTTCCACAGTGCTGGGAAGAAGGCCTCAAAAGCTTTAAGAGTCAAAGGAGAATTAAACGAAGAGAACCATGAACAAATGAATATCAAAACAACAAAAAAAAAAACAGATATAAACAAAGAGAAAAACTATGTAATTCAGCCAACTGCCACATGGCAGCGTTCCTCCCATACCCTCACCTCTTCTCCCTGATTAGAAAACTTTGCCTCTCTCTTCAACAGCAATCTTACACTTTCCTGAGGAACGGCTCGGAGAGCACTGACGAATGCCGACTCGGCTCCATCGCTGTTGTCGCAGTCATCGAACTGCTTGCCTCTTGCGTCTCACCATTCAGCGACTGCACCTCCACAAGACTCAGCGCGCCTGCCACTGATGAGGGGTGAGACCGCCTAGTCTCGTCATGGAATAGGTGAAAAAGCGAGAAAGACCCCCAAAACCCCGAGGGACTGTCCTCCAAAATCGGCCAAAGTGGGCCTACATTTTGGTTCCTCGACACAGCACGCACAATCAACCGCTGGAACTGTAAAAGGTCTGGGAAGAAAAATAGCTTCACCGCCGCGTAAATTGAAAGTGTCAAGAGCGGCGCCGCAACGCCTAGAATCCACTGAAGGTAGAACACCCCATTCCTTAGAAGCTCCAGAAAGGAGTGATTTTTTGACCCCAAGGCGTATAATGTGTACAGTATAAACATTGCAGCCACTGACCACAACAATGCAGCCCAGTGAAATAAGGTGATAGAGTGTGTCTCCAGGAGAATAATGCTCGAATGGAGTGTCACCAACGCAAAGCAGCATGCATAGTAGTCACAGGTACGATCCATTGTGTGGCCCCACCGCATTACTCCACCACTCGTACCGTTCCAAAAACCATATGCAAGGTAAAAAATCATAGTACCGTGCAGAAAACCTCGCAGAATGTAGCCATAAAATGTTATAGCGTTCAAGTACCTGCCCTTCTGACAAAGTCTGTAGAGCGGTGGATTGCTCAGAAGTATTGATGGTGACAGCGGCATGTTCATTACACAAAGAAATGTCACTGGTGCTGTAAAAAGTGAGTTATACATCATCAGTGAAAAAGAATCCCAGAAGGAGACGCCAGAAAACCCGGTATAGATATTGAACAGTAGCTGTATCCACGCCAAAGCCACAGTTTTCCAAAAGTTTTGCTGCACAATTATAGAAGAACGTTGGTATGCCGTGTGTCCATGAAAAAGTAAAAGTCTGGACAAGAAATGGAACCGCGATATGGAGACGTCTGAAGCAACCGCTGCCTGCGTACCTTCTCTTCCTCTGATACCAACCCCGACGTGAGCACACTGAATCATTGACACATCGTTTCCCCCATCACCAATGGCTAACGTCACATGACCTGCGTTCTTCACAACCTGCACCAGAAAGGACTTTTGATCTGGCGTCATGCGGCTGCATACAACTGTTGAGGCATGCAGCACCACCCGTTTGAAGTCAAGAAAGAGTTGCTCGTTTCCGCACTCCTTCATGAGCTCAATGGTTTTCCCAGATAATTGAAGGACGTAGCCTCTGTTCTCTTTCACCGCATTGTCGTCATTCATTAAAACTTCCGTTTCATGCTCTGAAGTATTGTTGTGGAGTACATCTGGAAGGCCGTGAGGTGCGCTGGAGATCATCGTGTGGCACACCCGAGATGTCGTTGCTGTTGGGTTTGTGAACTCACAGACCACGTCTCGCAGACCTGAGCGCACGTAGAACGAGGAGAACGATTTATGCCGCTGTTCAGCCTCCTCAAATTGTTTTCGACCCAACGCGTATTTAACGTACCGTTCAACGTAATTCAAGTGCTCCCGCACTGACGTGGACTCTACTTCGTTGGGTGTCAAAGCGATCATTCTGTCATCGGGACCCACAAGGCCGCTGGCGATGGCTGTCTGCCTCGCCGCTTGGCTCTTATCTCCTGTCAGCATCCACACCCGTATGCCGGCTGCCCTCATTTGTGAAATCGTGCTGCATACATTTTCCTGCAGCTTGTCCTCTACAGCGGTGATGCCACAGAATACAAGATCCTTTTCAACACGCTCGCACACTTCGGCAACTGCAAGCGTACGCACATCAGCGGATGCCACCGCCCCTGCTTTGCGTATATCCACCAGCCATGTCTGCGCCTCATCATCCGCAAGGTAACGATATGCGCTTACAAGTGTGCGGAGTCCCTCGTGGCTCAGACGGTTCAGCTTATTCGACGTAATCCGTTTGTTGTATGAGCTTTCGATGCAACGCGGCAATACACTTTCGTCTGAACCTTTCGTCAGTAGGAGATATCGTGGATCATCATCAATCTGAAGTAGTACACTCACACGACGGCGCTCAGATGTGAACGAGAGCACATGCAGTATCGTCGCTGACTCGACCTTACTACCAAATGCCACAAATACCCGCTTTCTCGTTCGCTCCAGTAATTTGATGCCCAACAGAGCGGCACCTTCAACAAGCGCCACTTCATCTGGTGAGGGCGACACCCAAGCAGAGGTAGGGGCCACCCTCGATGATGCTGCTGCTCCTACCGATGAGGACGAGGACGAGGGTTGCGCCCCATTCGCCGTCATGCGAGCAGTGCTCTCGACAGTGTTACAGTAAACCATCACACGCAGCAATTGCAGAAGAGACTCATCTCTGAGTAGAGCTAGCCTTGTGTTTGCCACCTCACGTGGAGCGGAAGGAGTAAGGACCGTACCTTTGGCAGTTACAATGCGTTTGAGAGTCATGGCATTACATGTAAGTGTCCCTGTCTTGTCCGTCATCAAATACTCCACTTGCCCAAGGTCCTCCATAAGGGAGGAGTTGTGAACTTCCGTCGTGCCGTACTCACCTGACATCTCCCCGTCCCACGTGATGAGCTCACTGATGTACGCCTTGGATGCGTCGAGCATCACCTTAAACGAAAGCGGAACCATCGGCGAAACCAGTGAGAAAAAACGGAGTGGAAGTATAACGAGGTACTCTGTCATAGTGACATCGTAATTGCCGAGATACCACAATTTCCCCTGGTCCTCATGTAATTCCGTGTCTGACAGACTTACGTACACCGTGACCAAAATAAACTGCACAATGAACACGACAATTACCATTCTGTTATAGTACCGATCAATTATTGACCACTTTGTTGGTGGAGCGGCACGTGTCATGGCCACCCTCGTTTCGTTGCCTGTCAGAACGGCAACACCAAGAGCAAAGCGAGTATTATTTACAATACTTGAACTGAGAGCGACGTTCTCGGCACTGATACCAAGAAGGGTCTCCTCTGCCTCGTCCGCCTCATTATCATGAGGCACTAATACTTTTGCCACCCCACTGTAGCTGTTCAAGAATGGCTTTGGACCTTCGGAATCGATGATACATGCTGCCTCCTTTATGAATTCTGCCGCAGCGCGTATGCTCGCCTCCTCGTCCTGCAAGGAATCTGTAGTTATTGTACTGAGTGTCGGACGTTGTGCATACATGTCGCCCAAAATAGCATAACGTCTTTTACACACCGCCTCACCGTCCAGTGCCTCTGTTGAGATCATGACTTCACCATTTTCACCGGAGGAGAGCAAAAGGACAACATCACACGGGACCACCTCCATGGGAAGCAAAAGCAGCATGTCACCAACTTGTATATCGCTGCACCTTATGCATTCAACACCCATTGTGTCAATATTAATGATGTGGCACTGCTTAGCATTGCATGCGTTGTCAAGCCGATGCCGACGCCAATCGTCAACGCCCTCCTTGACAGCGGTTATGAGAAATGCAATTCCCAACGGGACGAGGGTGGTGAGTGGGCTCACCGGGGACACTGACGGCACGAACTGAAGCGCCGTAACGAGCAAAAAATACAAATTGATTGGCCGGTGGAACTGCTCGAACAGGTTAAATGGGAGAAATGAAACAACTGTGTACTTCGAGCTCTTCACTTCGTTGTTGCAATATTCACTAGACGGAAAGCCAGGGCGGACGATTCGCCGCTCGTCACCCCCACTCCGCTTGCCGAAGCGGCAGAGCCGCTGTAGCCCATCGGCAAGCCCCATCAACGAACACTAAAAAGGCGCGAGCAGAATTGGGAGACCAAAGCAGTAGTCTGAGAGTGGGCCTGAATGGAGCACGGTAGGGCCAACGCACACAGGAAAATAACACAGTAAAAATAACATGCTGAGGCAAGACAAACAAACAAAAAATACAGCGAGACCAGACAGAGGAATGGCATAAGACCAATCACTTGCGCATAGTGCAGACGACACAATTGCAGAATTGTGTCATAGCCGCTGCAGCAGTTCCTCCATCTTCGCTGCTACTCTTTCTTTCAGAGCCGTACCAGCCTCAAGGTGGACGAATGTCTTGCCAAAGCGCCACGCGAGCCAGCAGTACACCTCCGCCTGGCGGTACAAGTACTCCATCCGCGCTAGCACCTGTTGTGCCCGCCTCTCATCCCAGTTTTCACGAAGTAGCTCGGACTGCCTTGCCAACGTCTCATACTCTTCGTCGATGCGGAGACGGACGGGCCGCCCGGCGGCATGATCACGGGCGAACGCGCGCAACAAACTGTATGCCTCCTCGCTTCGTTCATTCAGCGGAACGTAGCAAAATAGAATCCGATCGCTCAAGACGAGGCCTGGCACCGCCTCCAACTCCTTGGCGATCTGCAGCAGTGAGCGCGAGAGGTCACATGGAAAGAACACATCTGTGGCATGGCAGCATCCTGTGAACTCCTTGATTCTTTCATAGAATGTGACTTGAGTCTCTCCTGCGGCACGCGGCATCTTCCCTTCTGCGCGCAGCGACACGAAGAGCTCAAGTATGTCGGCGGTGGGGAGAAGCCCCGCCTTCTGGAGCGGTGGTAATCGACTGCTCACGGCATCACGAAGCATAGAAAAATCCTCCCGATGAAGAGTTGTGCATCGACCAACAGCGTTGGCACGTGTCATACCAAAACGACCTGCACGCCCTGCTATCTGCACAGCCGTTGCCTGGGGCAAGTCAATCTTCTGTTTCCCATCAAACTTTTTCATGGTCGCAAAAACAATCCGCTCAATGCTCATATTCAATCCGTATGCGATAGCATCGGTGGAGACGAGAACATGTTTCTTCAAGTTTTCTCCCTGAACAACAGTCTGCACACCATTGTTAAATGCGCTGGCCTGTGCCTCACGAACGGCAAAAGGCATTGAACCGTAAATGCAGTGTGGGACAACACCAGGAATTCGCTCTAGTCGCCGCTTCATGTCAAAGATTGCTCTCCTCGAGAAGCACACAACACAATCGCCGTTCTCCACTCGTCGCAAGTCACCGCCCAATGACGGAGACACCTCGAGGGGAACGAGGCGCTTGTGCGTCACGAGCTCGAGTCCCCGCAACTCATACGTCTTATAGAGCAGGTTTCGGATGAGCGGAATTGCACGCTCCTCACCACAAAGGTGTATCTCACGCGCTGGCAGCCCCAGCAATGCACGTGTCCAAGCCCATCCACGGTCCCTGTCAGCAATCATCTGCACCTCGTCAATAGCGCCCACATCGACCTGGTAGTCAATGGGTGTCATTTCCACTGTGCAGGAGACGTGCTCCGCCCCTCCTCCAAAGCGGCGCTCGTCACCAATGAGTAAATCGCACGGCACCACCGTGTCAATGCGCTTCCATACCTGTGCCGCGAGGGCCTTGAGAGGTGCGCAGTACACACCGCTCTTTGCCTTCACCAGCGCCTCCAATGCGGCATGTGTCTTGCCGCTGTTGGTGGGCCCGTAGTGGTAGATGAAACGGCGCCGCATATAGCGGGCCTTGGGGTACCAACCCCAGGGCTCATGCATCGTTACTTTCTGTGGGGCCTTCCTCGCGATGTACCACTTCTCAAACGTCTGCACAACGATAGAGATACGCGCAAGCGCATCAGGGGCTTCGGATAGTTTCGCAAGCCAGGCAGGCCCCGCTGTTGCGCAGACGTCTTTGGAGAACTCATCCAGATGACAAAGTGCGTTCTCCACGGATGATTCATGAATGAGCTGCCGCAGCTCCTCGCGCGCGGAGGAACTGCGGTAAATATGGTCGCACGTTATCCGAACCAGCTCAGTCTCCTTGCGAAGGCAGCATGTCCTTCTCTGTAGTATCACCAACGGAGCCACACCCAGCACCCTACGCATCCTGCCTTGGTTCACAGACCCGAGCCTCTATTGCCTGGCAGGCCACTCTCAAGAATGACCCTGCGGCTGCATTAAGAGCAACAGAAAGCAAATGTGAAGAAAGGAAAAAAAAAAAAAATTGGTGTTGATCAAGGCAAGTAAAAAACAACAGAAAAAATGACGCGGCAAAAGGATACAGAATCCAAATTATGACCCCCTGCTCATCTCAAGCCTGGGGAATTCTAATAGTGGGAATATCATACTTAACGGAGGGGCACTTGCAGAGTGCCACGTGTGTGACTGCTACAACCTCCACCCGCTCTTGCGCTTAAATACATATAAATACTCTCAATATCCTTTTTTTTTCCCCTCATCCTCGTCCGTGTTAATGTGATGAAGGCACCACAAAGGGGCACCAACCCCACAAGGTGCTTCAGGTCCTGTTCTTTTCACTTTCTCTCGGTGTGTTTTTTTTTTGTTTCTTTGTGTTCCTGCATGCACCGATATTCATCTCGTCCTCCACCTTCTTCGCCCCCAGTCTCTCTCTCAGGCATCGGCGACAACAATGAGAGAGCAGCCCTCTATCCAGTGTGACCCGCTCAGCCTCTCAAAACGTATATGCAAAGGGAAAAAAAACACGCTTACGCCGTTTAAGGCTGCTCTTCCTCATTTTGGAACATTGAGCCGTGCGCCAACTCGACAGCTTCATCGGCTTCACCAAACAGGAAGTCTTTTTCATGTTCCCGCAGCAACTCAACGCTGCGGCGCAGGTCAATAAAAAGAGAGTACACCTTCTTGATGTCGTGCACAGACACTGTTGAGGCCCGCCGTTTCTGTGTGACAAGGTTCGCTGTTGTGATGAGCTGCAGAACATATCGCAGCGAGGTACTCTTACCCAGCATTGTGAGGAGCGTGATGGCATCCTCTTCCATCTCAACGTCCTCCTCCTCACAACGAATGCGAATAATCTTGCTGAGCTCCGCCTCAGTGTACGGCTTCGTCGCGATGATCACCATGCGGTCGAGCAGGTCAATAGGGATGCCGTGCGGTGCCTTGTACTGCGTACCGCGGATTCGGGATATGCCGCGGTTAGAGGCCATCACAACGACCGGCGCGAGTGGACTCTCCAGCGCGCGGTTCAGCCATGAGAAGCTTTCAATATCCAACATGTGCACTTCATCAATGAAGAGAACACCGGGAACAATCTCACCCTTGCCTTCCTCCCGCCACTCGGCCACGCGCTGGTCAATTTGTTCACGCACCTCGTGCTTGATTTCACCTGTGTCACCGGCAAAGAGTGCAAGGAAGCCTTGCTGTCTCGAGTTGATGACATCTACTTCGTGTAGCGTCACTGTGTGTACCACCTCCTTCCGCTTTGAGAGCTCTCCCTCGGGGGTCTGGACAAACCGGGTGTTTGAAGACATGGCATCGTAGTCCTTGCTTCGCACGAAACTACGCCCTAGCTTGTTGATACGCCCGGTTGCTTTATCAATCGTGATGACGTCACCTACCTGCACCTTTTCTTTCTGGAGACTCTCAATCATTTTCATTCCAAGATCAAAGGTTGACTCCATATCAGATGTCTTAAGCACCAGTTGTCCAGTGCGTCCCTTCGCCTCTGCAGGATTCGTGGAGGGACGCTCAATAGATATCTCAACCACCTCACCTTCTATCATTTCCGTCTCCTCTTTGATGCGCACGCCAATGCTACGGCGAAATGCCTGCGTGAGAGCTTCCGTCTTGGACATCTCCAGCGAGAAGATCTCGCTTCCGGCGATCATCGTGAACGGCGTCTCTGGCCCGAGCGCTTGCGCCATGCCCATCGCAATTGCCGTCTTGCCGGATCCGGGTCCACCGGCGAGGAGGACGCACCGGCCGGCGATTTTGCCCTCCTTAATCATCTGCACCACCACACCGGCGGCGCGACGGGCCTCGACCTGGCCGACCATGCCCTGGCTGCTCATGCGCGCCTCGAGGGCGTCGTCAAGGCCCAAACCGCGGATGTGTGAGTGCGCCCCGATGCGCTCCACCCGTGTGAGGTCCCGCGCCTCCTCCGTCCGTATCTTCGCCTCCGTCATTCTCGGCGTGCTGGTGTGCTGCGAGGGTGAGAATAAGGAAGGAAGTCAATAATAGTAAAAATAGTGGTAACAGCAAGGTACGTCGGCCCTTGTGGAAAGCTGCTTGACTTTATTTCTGTTTGGTTTTCGAAGAAAACAAAATGCAGCAAGAAAGAGAAAAAGAACAAAAAACAACAACAGCAAACAGAAAGAACAACATATGGAAGAGAGCGAGTGCAGTGGGTGACGTAGGAGGGACACACTCGGTCAGGGAAAGATCAGAGCTCACAAGGGACGCCAATTCTGTTTCGACTAAGATGCGATTGTGCACTATGCGCCCTCTTTAGTTACCCACCATGTCCAACAGGGGGGAAAAAAACCTTCTCATAGTTCTTATCAGTGTGACAGGGTTTGGCAGATTCCGCGCCGCTGTCTCACAGCTTCGACGCGGCAACTGCCCTCTCTGCGACCTCCGTAAATTTCTTTTTGGCTTCCTCCTTGCTCAACCGCTCGAAACGCTTGTATGCCTTCCACTTGGCGTACGCCGCCACATTCAAGCGCGAAGGCGTAGGCTTCGTGTTGGGGCCGTACATGACCTGGTTCCACAGGCCATAAAGCTCCAGTTTCGTGGCGAGAGACATCGGCGGCCGAGTCGCCTTTGTCTCAACGATCTTCGCCAAGCGCCGGAATCGTTCGTCGAGAGACTCTTTAGACATCTTCTAGTCACCTCGCCATCAGAGGACAACGCGGCAATGGGCAAAAGGGAATACAAAAAAAAAAAAACAAGAGAGTGTGTAAGGAAAAGCGAGAGATGGAGGTGGAGAAAAAGAGAATGGTAGCGTATCTCCCCCACTATGCCGTAATGGTGTCTTAAACAGAGGGCACAAACACCGTGGACAACAGCAATTTGGCAAGGACAGCACTCGTGCCCCTTCGATATTACACCGTGCGCACCACAAAGCGACCAGCGCTTGTAACGTACTTGACGCCTTTGTACGGCTTCCCTATTTCGTTTAGCACCTGAACGCTGTCCACACGAATGCTGCTAAGGAGAAAATTAGGGATGCTAAACTCCACAACAGCGGAGTCACCTGTACAGGGCGCTGCCACATCGTTTGCTCGCTCCGCCCCAAAGGTGAACTCACCGCTCAGCGAGCAAGTCCCGCGGAAAAGCGTTCCAACTGTCCATGTCAATACACCGCGTGATTTGTTAAAGCTCGTCGTGCCCTGGGTGTTGCTGTGAACCTGCACCGCCTCTGTCTGTGGAGGCAAAGGAAGGTGCACGACAACTTTGTGGACATTATAGTCTTTACTCTTGGTCGTCAAGGCACCTCCGCGAAGTCCCACCATACAGTTAAAGCGGCCACCAGTCGAATTAAACGTGATCTGTGGCGTCACGTAAAAGGGGGCCTGCGCGTTGAGAACTGGTTTGCAGCGGTATTGCAGCAGTGTGAAATTTCCATCTGCAGGGATGAAACTAATGGTGCGATCTGTACCATAACGATTGCGACGGACACAGCGATGGAAAGCGATGTCGTCAACAAAGTCCAGATTGGTCAAGCGCATCACGACATCTGGCATTCCACTAAGGCGACAATTCACCTCAATCACGCCACGCACCACTGTATGCACCAGATTCCCTTCGCAGTCTACTATGCAATCAAACTGCTCCACGACATCGAAAAAAATTTCATTAGAACTATGCCGCGTCGATGCATCTCGCCACGGAACAGCGCGCATCCCCACGTGTCGGCGCCTTGTCTTTGCAGGGGCGTCAAGAGCGGTGCGGAACTTGTTCTCTAGCGTCGGCTGCACAACCAACTCCCCAAGCACGTGCATTTCTGTCGTTAGCGGGTAGCCATTGTCGATGAGCTCCTCCAGCAGCTGATACACCACCGAGAAGTTCTCTCGCAGCGTATTCTCCGACAGCACTTTCAAGTACCACTGAACTACCTTTGCGATGAGAGAGAGAATTTCCAACACGAGGAGAGGAAAGCCCTCATTGGTCACAATCGCAAGCAGAACAACGTCGTTGCGATGTATCTGAACAAAGACAAAGCGGCTGTAGGGTATCACCGCAGGGGCATCCTCCACCGAGCGCAGTGGAGACATGTACGTACTCCAGAAGTCCTCCAGGATGGTGCGAGGCACCTTCTCGCGGAACTGTTTCTCGATGATGACCTCACCGTGGTGGTTAAGAAAAAAGATGCTTGATATCATTTCTTGCTGTTCCACTAGAGAGAGTGTCTTAACCGTCCCCTCACTTCTTCGCCAACACGAATCAAACAACCAGACAAGACAGAGACAAAAATACGGGAAGAAAGAATATGAAACGAAACAAAAAGGGAAATACGAACAGCTACAAACACAAAACACACACACACACACACAACACAAGCGGCACAACGCCCAGGTGCATGTCAAAAAGACAGCATCAGAAAGGGAGATGTGAGTAATGATACCTTCTTTGTTTTCCCCATCTCTCTCTCTGTGTCCTCCCCCAATCTCTCCCCACACACAGACACACACACCGTTAAGACGCAGCACCGCTCAGGAGTATGACTCCGGGTGAAGAAACGTCCGTGGTGGAACCGCAACGGAAAATGAAAAAAAGCACAGCGGATCTTCCCGCGAATCTCCTTAAAAGCTCTCCTTCATTTATTGCTTATCCAGGACATCGGTCATCCAATGGAGTATGCAAGTACAACATCTTTTTCCCCCTTTTGCTCTGTCGTTTCTTGTTGCCTTTTATACCTCTTATGTATATATATATATATA